ACGATTACAAGAACGGTCTGGAGGGTGTTAAGAGGTTTTTGGAAGTCTATGAAAAAAAAAGAGAAATTTGGATGACTTTCCAAGACAAAGAGGTGGCTAGAATAGATAGGGTTTTTCGGTATTGGGAAGATCACGTCAAACATGAGGACGACATTATCGAGAACGGGGTGCCTTCGACACCCATTACCGACTTTTGGCCAAAAGTCATCCATATCGTTGAAGATAAGAGTTCTTGCTCTGATTCGGATGCATCCGACTTATAGAAAGAACCTCTATTCGTGGGTCTTCAAAAGGACAAGCCTAAAACGAGCTTTGATCCTTTTGAAGATAAACACGTCGACAATTTCGTCATTATGCAACCATCGGACGAGGATATGCTTCAAGAAGTGTCATTTTGGGGTGGCCAGGTTCGCGGTGATGTTGACAAGAACGAAGATTCGCCAACTTACAACGATTTCAAGGTGGAGTACTAGGTTCCAAATGGGAAAGCAAGCACACTAAAAGAATTGTATAACAATGCATGGAAAAAAAAATGGAGAAAAACTTCAGGGCATGCGAAACAATATCAACATGTGACAACCGTCGTTTTTTCTTGGATGAGACAAATAAGAACGAATGGCTGCGACTCCGGCAAGAAATTCACCAGTGGTCTTGTTATTTCAATGAAAGTGAGAAGAAATGCAACTCCCGCTCCAGGATAACAGCATCGGTGCTCAAACACATTTCGTTTCCGAAGAAGGGAGCGGGCCGGAGGCTACCTCTTCGAGAGTGTGATGCTTGTCATCTCTAAATGAGGAGAACAAATTGGTGTACTGGACCGTGCAATACATGCTTGACTCCATGAAATAAATTGTCTAATGATATGTGCTCTCTCGATTACAGGTTTCACATCAACAAGACTTCTGAATCAATTTTCGACCTTGGACGTGGGGGCCTTTGGGTCGCCATAGTGTAACCTTAGGCTCTGGATCCTGACCTTAATGAAACACTGTTATTGTAACTTTTGTCAACTGCAGCGTGCAAACTTTAATCATTTTGACATTTTAAAGAACATGGCTGAAAATGTGGTAGTCACTGAAATTGAAGTGTCTGAACGACTGACAATCATCACAAAGGGAGGAGCGTTTCCATTCCAATATGAGAAAATCTTCAAATGTGAAGCGGGAGAACGAAAAATGTTTGTCATCATGGTGAAGTTTACAGATATGGACTGTTTTCACATACGAATATACGAGCGTCGAGGAGAGAACTGGATGTTCGAAGATTTTACAGACGTTTATCTGCGAGCTGGAGATGTTCTTTCGTCCATAAGACGTGCTTTACTCAATGCTGGGGGTGTCCTTCAAGATTTCTGAGTTTCCATTATGCAGTTTGAAGGTCTGGCTCAACCACCAATCCCGACATGCATGGTAGACGGTTCAACATGGGAACCATTAGTGAATGCTTTGCGAAGAGGCTTCTTGTAATTATTTCAAATTTTTGACACTTTGAATAACGAGTCTTAAAGTTTTTGAAGTTTTGTGTTAGAATGTCACATTTGTTACCACTTTCATAGTATAGGCTTCTTCTGATCATTTCGACTTTTCAACACTTTGAGTAACAAGTCTCGAAGTTTTCGAAGTTTTGCGTTAGAATGTCATATTAGTTAAAATTTTCATAGTGTAAGGTGCTAGGGATTTTTTATTCGTGCTAGGTCGTAGCCTTGCAAACTGTTTGGTTATGTACAAAGTGTGGCTCGGTTTAAATTTGCAAGGTATAGTTGATTTTTCATACCTTAATAAGTCTTAGCTTGATTTGGATAGCCTTACAATTTTTTCGGTTATTGAAAATTTTTGGAGTAGTTGTTATAAATTCATAGTATATGGATCAGGTAAATGTCGTTTGTTTTCAAGTTGTCAATTGCCCTGAGAATGATTGCGTATCTGCTTAGTGAAAACTTTTAAAGCTATTGTAACTGTTACGACTTCATAATATGTGGACCAGGTAACCCGGTCAGTTTTTAATTTTTTTTGCTTATGAATCAAGTTATTATTAGTTGTCAATTGTCTTGAGAATGATTGTGTACTGTATGATAGTAATGACTCCTAATTTGTTCATTAAATTTCGTCTCTAAGCTTGACAAAGTTTATGTTTATTTGCTTATCGTCTGTTTATATTATGAGTTCAACTTGTTAATTGTCTTGAGGATATTTTAATTAATGATATACAGTTGTTGACCTCCCGAACTTCTCAACACATAGTCCTTGTCATCATTTGTAGCATCTGAATAACGAAACATTTGATTCGGATGTATCCTACTCTTCCATTACACTTCATAAAATATTTTTTCGTGCCACACCTACACGTCCTTTTGAGCCTTTGCAAAAATCTATTTCGTGTCACTCCTATGCATCCCTTCCAAGGGGAACGCTATAATGTTAATTGGATTTTGTCTCAAAGCTTGACAAAGTTTAAGTTTATTTGCTTGTCATGTGTTCATGTCATGAGTTCAACTTGTTAATTTGTCTTGAGGATATTTAATTAATGATGTACGGTTGTTGACCTGCCGAATGATAAGCTCCTCAGACACATAGTCCTTGTTATCATTTCCAGCATCTTAATAACGAAACATTTGATTCGGATGTATCCTACTCTTTAATTACACTTCATAAAATACATTTTTGTATCACTCCTACGCGTCCCTTTGAGCCTCTGCAAAAATCTATTTCATTTCACTCCTATGCATCCCTTCCAAGGGGAACGGTAGAGGGAGGGCTTCAACATTCGATACGCAATGTTCATAGTCAGTAGCTGAATGAGTGTTAGTTTAATTAAGATGTATCGGACTTCGGTAATTGAACTTGTACACAACAACGTTTTGAAAAGGAATCAAATGTGTTGAGGATTATTTATCCATTGAACGGTGACTTAAGCATTGTATATTAATTTGTAATGAGGATCTCCTTTCGTCAGCCTCGTATACATTTCGAGTTTCTCGAAAAAAAATGTACTATTTAGAAAATAATGTACTATTTTAACGAATAACATATTAGGCATATCACGACGGCGGCGAGGAGGATGATAAGTAGTCTGAGGATGTTATTGCTCCAACGCAGATGATTGATGCTTGGAACACGCTTTGTGCCATCCAACGATGGCCAACCCAAGACAGGAGCCACGTTAAAGCTATGTGCATGGTTTTGCCTTCGGAAACCGAATTTGCGGACCCCAGTCATCGTCAACTACTATGGTCGAATTTGGGTGTTGAATCGCAACACTACCATTACTATGTTTTTTTTTGTCGTCAAGGTCGATGCTCGAAAAATGAAAGCTCATTTCGTTGTAAGGGAGGAGTACCGAGGTGTCACCCTCAGTCAAGCGGAAGCGTTTCACAGCCCGACTCTTGCTTTTACTCTAGGGCGAGGCGGGGGTCGGGTGTCGGGGG